GACGTTCGAGAAAAAGGGTCATTTGAGCTGTGATTGCACAAGAGAGATACAAGATAAGAAATTCGAAAATATTGCAAACGTTTGTTGAGGTGTCAAAATAAAATAATATTGAAATGGGAGGATTAATATTTGAAGCTTTGATATTCTAAGATCTCAGGTGAATGAATGGCACAAGTCGAAAAAAGTCGAAAAAGTTTTGGGCTGAGGACAAAACTTATATTTTTATATCATAGTTTGCATAGAAAGAAAGTGTGTTTAAAATGAAGAATTTATTTCTTCAATCATATTAACATTGCTGATTATAAAAGCATCGGAAAATTTCTTGGAATCTTATTGAAGTTAAAAAAAAAATGTATTCATTTTCAGAATTTATGTAAAATTATACATGTAGAGGTCGGCCGCAGTACTGCAGGTCTCATATAGTTACAAAGGAAATCATAAGAAGATTTTAGTTGTTAAAAGTATCCTAATCATATGAATGGCTGTAGTATAATGCAGCTGATTTGAATTTAGTGAGTTTAAAAAAAATCATTATTTTGAATTCAGCAACAATTCTAGTAGAATTTGTTTCATAGAAAATTAATTGGATGTTATCTTACTCAAGATCAAATATCATTGGACATGTTAAAGCTTTCATATTTATTACGTGATGCCTCAGATGTAGATTATGGTATTTTATTGAGGTTTTGTCGGAGCACAACAGCAAAAACAAAATTACGGTGAAAATATTTAACAAAAGTGTTTGTCTTTGATGCATCAGATGTATGCAATTTACATTGAATTTTGGCAAAAGGATGTCTCAGATGTAGACTATGGTGCTATATTTCAAATGTTTGTCTTGGGACCAAAAAAAAATTATTTCTTAAAAACATTGAACAAAAATGGTTTACTTTTAATTTTGATGCATCAAATGTATGCATTTTATATCGAATCTTATGAAATTATTTTTAAGATGTAGGCGATGGATTTTAATTGAATCCTGACAAAAAATATACTAAATTACGACCCAAAAATAAATGGTTTTGAAAAAAAATACCACGCACACTTCTCTCCCTTTCTTTGGTTATTTCTAGTCATCTCACAGTGCGCTGAAATGCATACAAATGTATTCACTATTGTTGTTTATGTCAGTGAAGTGAAGTGTGGACTTAAAATTTCTCGCGTTACGAAGTATAGCGAGAAATAATTGTCCTAACGGCATGTAAACAAATTGTTTGAGTCGGAACCGGGTAATTGTGTACTGAGTATTGGCCAGTGGAAATGGGTTTTAAGTTATGACGTGTTCGAATGGGTGAAAGAGATTTCTAGTAATCATTCTCTAGCGCACGCTCTACCCGAGCAAGTCAAAGTTTTGTACATTATAATAAATGGCAATTTCTTATATTAATTTTTTGAGAATGAGTCCGCCATTCATTTTGTTTACCTCGCAAATTTTGCTGCGGACTTACAGGTTTCCATAGTTTTTTCAACATAAATCAGTGTTGTTTTTTATCTATGGTTTTTCCTGGGCGGCGAGGGAAGCACAGTTCAATAGTTGTGTTTATTTTAATTTTATATAAATTGATAGATGTTTTATTCTGCTTTGTTCATATTGTGTGGAAACCATAAAGCCTAGCGTCATCTCACAGTGCGCTTAAATGCATACAAACGTATTTTTGTTTATGTCAGTGAAGTGAAGTGTGGACAAATATTTTCCTCGACCTGATGATTCTCGCGATGCTTTTCCTGCGCACATGCGCAGATCCAGGATAAACGTCAGTCCTTTATAAATATACATGAGAATATCGTGTTCTTTTCCCGACCAGTACTTTGTTAATACCGAATAAAAATTCATCGAATTTGCAAGAATGCTTCATTTTTGATAGCTTATTATACTTCAGATTTTTTTGTTCTGTTTCAGCTGTGCAAAAAACTGTTTAACACGGCATACATATCTTTAATGGTTCTATGGTCAATCTTTGGTAATAAGAAATGTTATTGGTTAGAAATTTATTAAGACTGATTTTTTAAAAAATGTCAAGCACAAAGTAATGTTTTATAATTAAGTACAGTGCATTAGATAAAAGTCAGAGTTATAAAATATACATTTGGATTTAGTTATGTTATAAGCCGTAAGTTCGGCCACTATTTCATATTTCTAAATATTTTGTAAAGCGTGGTTCCCATGTTGGTAACATATATTTTTCTCATATGTGTGGAAGATACAGGGTGTTTCATAATATATGTCACATTCTAAATCTTCAATTTGACCAACACATGTAAAAGATACAGATAAGTCTTTCTTTCAAATTGATGCATGTATCCATAAGATTCATTATGTTTAATTATCAGCTAAAATATTAAACACTGAACAAAATCTTAAACATTAATGAATGTAAGTGAAATTTCTAAGTTGCTTCATTTTTGCAACGTTGAATTTCACAACGTCAAAAGCTCACATTACATGATTGTTCTTAATGATCTCCATTATTTCAACAACAAATGAAAGTTGCTTCTTGAAATTTGTTTAGAGTATAACCTTGTCACATATTTTTGCTTAGATACTCCTCATTTGAAGGTCTGTGTTCTTTTTGAGCTCATTCATTATCTGTGGTTTAGGATTGTAGTCCCTGTTCCTTAAGAATCCCTACAGAAAAGAGCCCAAAGATTGAAATTGTCAAATGCAAAGGTCAAACTCTCTCCTTGCATTATTGAAAATTTGTATGCTGGTAACTGCAAATCATATTTCAAAGTTGAATGTATGCTGATATTGCCAGCATCAATTTCTGAAAATTTCTATCAGAAACTTTTCTCAGAAGTTTGCTACACTTAGAGTTTCCATCCCACAAAAGAAACCTCTGCTTCATTTAAAGTCTCTAGGCTTTCTGGAATACTGTGTTACTATCACATATTGTCTGTCCTTGTCCTTTAACCTTGTCTATATAATACTAGCATTCTGATAAGCATCATAGAAAGCTTCTATTCTTTTGGAAAATTTATTTCATCAACTTCTGAATAAATATTGGCAAAATGAATTGAAAAAAAAAACAGCTTTACAATTCAGCACTGAGTGGATAAGTTTAGTCCATTTCAAAAAATATTCAAATTATGACATCTGCATTTCTAGCGCAATTAATCTTTGTAAGGCCATGATTTCCTTGAATTTTTCACATGGAACAAAAGTGCAGGATTTGATGTTTAAAATGATATATAGTTTGTAATAGAGGTATGATAGGTAAGAAAAATAATTAGATTTAAAAATGTAACATATATTATGAAACACCCTGTACTACCCTTGAGATAAAGCTATGCATTATTCACGGGAAGGCACTTTATTAAAAGCACTCGCGGTTTTTACACAACCTCTCCAGCATTGCTTCAAGATTCAAATAAATCAAAACTTTAATTTGTAAAAATTTTTGCCCTATAAAATAAATTATTATGAGCAATAATTTTGATAAGAGCAGGGAAAAGACTTGATTACTTCAAAGAAATGTCAAGTTTTAGCAAAGTATTCGTATCGGTTACTGTAGAGACGGATGCCCGATGTTAACACCCCCCACCCAGGAACGTATTAATACGTACAATCTAATTAAAAATTAGATGTTAGATCCGCACTACAAGCAAAAATACTCCATTTCAAGTCGTTGGATAGAGATAATATCAAATCACACCATATAGATATCCTTCATATATTAAGATCAATTTATTGTTTGTGCTAAACATAATAAAAAAAATACACTGTAATTGTTTTATTACATAAAGTTTTATTACATTTGTGTTCTCTTCAAGGCAAAAATAACATAACGTAAAATGTAACAACGAAAAAGCACGTTATTGCATTTTTTGTTGATCTTGATGCAAAATGTAAAAATCCAAACATTGTGCTATTACATTTTGCGTAATTACATGTTGCGTTTATCTCAACACAAAATGTTAAAACGCAAAATGTAATAACCCCTGTTTATTACATTTCGCGTTGTTATCACATTTCGCGTTGTAACAGGGGTATTCAATTTTGAATACGGAATGTAATAAGTAAATAAATTTAGTGCTTCATCGTTGACTAATCAGTAACCTTCACAAACTCATGTTTGTGAAGAATTTCCTGAAATGCCAGGCAGGGGTGTATTGTTTAAACATGTCAAAAAATTTTAGATTTGTTATCATGGTTTCGTAATTAAGAAAATAAACAAACATCCTTTCACATCATGATGTCTTAAATTCCATTTAAATAAAAATATTTTAAACAATACTTGTAACAGTTTTATGTCATTGAAGGCGAAAGCTTGACTTCTACCTCTTTGGTAATGTCTTCAACACCAACCTCAACGGAGGGGAAAAATTCATTAGGTATGTATATATATAAAATCACTTTTATAAGGATACCCACTACCGTCCCAGACAGGACAGTAACCGCGCGCTAGACCGTTCGGCTATCTAAGCAAGTAAAACAAAACTTGCTTTCGATGCCGAAGGAATTATCACAGCGCCGTCCTACATTACACAGTCATTAAGAATTAAAGTGAGATACCGTTAATTGGACATTAGTTTTTTTAAGAGGATCGTTACAAATACCCATAGTAGTATAATGTTTTGTTTTGTTTTTTTCATTTATAAAGCACATTTTATAATACATGTAATTCTTTAATTAACATAACTGCCCTAAGTGAAGGAATATTAAATATTGAATGCACAAAGAAATTCACTTTTTAAAAGGATACAGACTTTTCGCCCGCCCGGTGTTTAACTCTCGACTTATGGAATCTTTCTCTTAGCAGTTCAAGAACAGCGCGCTAGACAGCTCTGCAATAAAATTGAATATCTTTGTGCTTTCTACATTTACTCGGAAGTGGGTATCTTTATAAAAGTGATTTTCTTTGAGCACTCTCTCTCTCTCTCTCTCTCTCTCTCTCTCTCTCTCTCTCTCTCTCTCTCTCTGTGTGTGTGTGTATTTTTCTGCTGATCTTGAAATCAAATTTTTATTAGGTAATAGAGGCAAAGAGTTCCTTGTACTGTTCATGGGGAATTATCCTTCTGTGTCTGGACCGGTAACCGTCTATATAACAACTGAAAATAATGCAATGGTTAACATTTCAAGTTCTCCATTTTTGAATGCAAACATAAAGTCAAAGACAGATAAGACAGTCTACTTTAACTCAATGTCAATAATATCTCTTCCTTTTACTCTAACATGCGAGTACTTAACAGTTGAACCTAAAGCTGTTATAGTACAGACTTCTGAGCCATCCACTGTAACTATTTTTGATAGCTTTGGGGAAACTACTAACGATGGGACGCTGATTATCCCAACTAATAAACTCTCAACAAAATATCTCGTTTCTTCAACAATGCCAGTGTTAAATTCAGTTGATTTTTATAGCCAGTTCGCTATAGGAGCTCTATATGACGATACAAGTGTACAGATTGAATTGAAAATTGGACAAAATTCTTCAATTCATGTATTTGGTGGAACATACAAGGACGGGGATACTTTCTCAGTAGTATTATCAAGACTGGAAACTTTACAGGTCAATCATACTACAGATCTTACTGGAACTTTTATTACAGCAACAAAACCACTAGCTGTATTTTCAGGGAAACAATGTCAATTATGGAAACCAAGCCGATGTAGTCACGTGGTAACGCAGTTACCACCAATTAGCGAACTTGACACTCATTATATCGTTGCCCCATTTCACAACAATGAAATTACTTTGATTCGAATTGTAAGTGCACAGGAAACTTATATCAATTCTAGTTTTGGAGACAAAAAGATAACAAGGCATTTATATGGGAGAAATCCCCAAAATCTGACAGCGACGTCAAACAGCATAACTGTTATTGTTTCCGATCAACCTGTTTTAATTACTGGATTTGGAATGGGAGGTCCATATGATCCTTACATGACTGTGATTCCAGGCATTAATCAGTATCTGAGTTATTATAAAATTCCTGTACCAGAAGGATACACGGAAAACTTTATTTGTGTGATTATTCCTCAAATTTCCTTATATAATCTTCGAATCAACGGAAACTCATTCAATAAATTCAAAACAGTGTTTCAGAGCTCAATTGTTTTGGAAAATATTTTCAGCGTATTTACCATTCAGGTTGAAAGAGGAATATTCATTTTATCTACAACAGACAATTCAAAGTTTGGACTCATTGTCTATGGTCATAGATATAGTGATGGGTACGGTTTTGCTGGAAACTTTCTACTTAACTGAACTTTTAAAACCTATTGCAAATGTGTTATCCTACTGAGTACATATTTGTAATTCCAGTATATGTTTTTATATCTTTTTTGTTTTGCTTCAATGTATATACATGTACTTGTTTATCCCAGTGAAACCTAGATTACTATATTTTGTATATAAATGATTTACTTGTCATTATCATTTTCTAAACCATTATGCACAATTAATCCCCGAATATCCTCCAAGTTACATCACATAATGGATAGCATCTTAAATCTATAGTCTTTCCAACGGTAAATATATCATCCCTCTTTATACTATGCGAGGGTTGTTCGAAAAGTTCATGGACTCCTGTCATATCTTTTTTTTTCATTTAACGTCATATGCTAACTAAATTTGGTAAAAATATTTTAACTATGAATTCAAATTATTTGCATTTCAATAAATTAAACTATCTTGATTAATTTTAAACCTATCCAGAATTTAAAACTGCAAAAATCGGATCATGGAGCAAGTCAAAATTTAGTAGTTCACAAACAACACACGAAATTAATATATGACAATGTCTGTAGTTATAGTGTACGTAAAATGGAGCAAAAAGGGGAAAAAAATCTAAGACTTTGAAATTAAGAACTGTTACATTGATTCATATTCCATAGTATAGTTTAATATTTCTATAATAGAAACTGATAATAGATTAGTTCATAAGATATCAATTTGCTAAGATGGGAAGTCTTCATTGAAAGCAACACAAAATGACGTTGTTGAACGTTACAGAGAAGCAGATAACGATGCAATTTTGTGTTATACTGAATAAACTCTAGATATGTTTAATGCACGACTTAATTGTGAGATACTGTTTAATTTGTTTTTAGTACAGGCGGAATTTGAGTGACAGAGTCTCTGTATCGGATTAGGAAATTCTGTGAAGCGGTTTATCTAATAAAAGCTGATCAAAAACTTTTAAAATTTGGAACGTCATGGAAAGACATAGCGCTTCCGAGTTGCTGATCCTGTGAAAGCACAGCTAAGTGGTAAAAGAAATTAAAACATTGGCAAAGGAAGTTATATAACGAGAACAATTGTTAGAAATGGGTTTTTAATAAGCTATAATTGAACTTAGCAGTTTAATTGTATATGATATTATTTAAAAAAAAAATACTTGACGCTTTGTTTTTGATGTTACACCGCTGTGAAGTATGCTCCATGGGTACAAAACATATTGATTTTAAAATGAAGTAAATTTCTATGCATTTGAATGGAATGAAACTCCACACTTCAACAAAACAAATATTTCTACACAGGATATTGAACTTATTTTAAATTTCTTGAAAGTAGTATACCGAAGATTGACATTGTCCAACTTTTCGAAGAACCCTCGTATCTTAAAAGACATTAATGTACAAAATATAGGAATTTAACATTATATTAGGAATTAATAAATAAACAGGATGCTATTGCACGCAATAGCTAATGACCCCCCAAACTGACCCCATATGTAATAATGTTCATTTTTTGCATAAACAGCATTCATTATTGAACTGATGAGATACTTTGTATAACATCAAACAAATAGCATGTTTGTATGACAGTAAATTAATAACAACTGATTAAAAAAAACATAAACTGTAGTACTCACAAAATATATATAGTACTCAGTAAATACTGTAAACCCATTTCTATGCGAGAAATTTTCGCTAAGTTCGCGACATCCTTGGCATCGCGAATATTTCTCGCCGCGAACCAGTCCTTAAAGTCTCTTTGTCTATTTGCAACAGATCAAAAAAGGTTTGGTCGCGAAAATTAATCGTCGCCAACCAGTCTAACCCCGGTTGATCGCGAAATAAAGTCGTCGCGAATAAAAGTTGGTTTACAGTATTTAACACAAATTGAGAAGTGAAAAGCATCATTTTATGTTACATCAATTATTATGAAGAAAGAGATATAACTTTTTGTTATTACAGTTGGTTTATATTTAACTCACTTTTCGAACTTAAAAAGATGGGAAATTAATATCATAAACCCACTTTAAACAAAACATGCATCACTAATTATTTTAAACCATATTAACCTCTTTTGAAAAAATAAACAAGTTTCCCAAATCAAATAAGGAAAAAATAATTGATAGATTTACAAAGATATGTCCCTTTTTATGCTAGTTAATGCTTGACATATATGTAATAGAATTCTTTATTTTTTTTTCTATTTCAAATTAATCACTGAATTATTTCTTTTGCAATGAGTTTATAGTTTAGTCCTCTTTTTTTAATTTTGGGAGACGTATTTTTGTGTACAGCTTCAATGAGGAATGTAAATTACTGAAGCACAGCTCCCGATTTTCCTTTACAAAACTTCCTTTTAAGATTTGATTTTGTTCTGGGATGGAAATTTGAGGGTTGCAAGTGTTGTACATATATATGGGGACATGTATTAATGAATAAAATTTCAATATTGATGTATAATATAATGATATTACTATATAACATATTAATAAAACATAAATAAAATCAAGATGTGTTGGTGAAACACGGGGGTAAGGCAGCATATTAAATTTCTCAAATACAAATCTATATGTTGATACGAGGGGTGATCAAAAAGTTCGCGAACTATCTCTATATCTACAAAACCACAATTCATATTAGAATAAAATTTGGTACACACATAGTCATTCACAAGTTCTATAAATAGCATATGCTGAATAAAGTTTTTCTTCTTGTTTGTGACGTCACAATGTGAAAATGACGTCACTATGTAGGTCACTTGTGACAAAAAAGGGTTGTCTCAGTCGAACTCGTTCAACAAACGACTGTACATATTTATTGTATATCTTAGAAATCCCTTTGCAGTAGCACATAATAATTTGAACACAGTTTAATAAGATAAATGACTGGATTGATCGTTTTAGAGAAGGATGGTAGGCGATTAAATATGATACTTGTCATGTTGCCCATTGAAAGCAAGTTTGAAAAGATATGTGTTGTTTAAAGGGTTTTTATCACGCATCGAAATTTCTTTAAAATTAAACACTATTTATATTCTTGGAACATATAATTATCGTTTAATTATAAAATAATGTTTTAAACTGTCGTATTTAAGCCATAATACGTCCGTAATGTAAGGTCTTCAGATTGAAAATCTCCACTAATTCGATAGGGGTCACGTGGTACTGAAACGTCATAGGTGTCAATGGGCAATTAGACCTCGTAAAGCGTATCGTAAGAAAACATCTACTGTATAGATACTTTCATGAAATAAAAAGAATGCACCACTAGGTTGGAAGAAATTTTGATATTGAAAATATAACTTTGGCTATGGATGCTCAATTTTATATGTATTAACTTCTACAACAAAAACAAAAAAAATAGACAAAAAAATACCGTGAAAGGAGGACAGGGCATTGAAGACGAAGCCGTTAATGACAACTCCTGGCTTCGACTGAATAGATCGTTATACGTTTTCTTTCTTTGTTATTTTAATAAATTGTACATAAACAGATCTTGTGTATCTTCTATCTATTCCAGCAATGAACATCATTTGATAGAAAGGACACTTCGATCGTCAATGGCGCCGTGCGCCATTACGGACTTCACAACACTTAGTGCATGATGTTTGTGCCGGACTTTTAAAATGCCTATTGGTAAATTATTATTATTTTTTTTTTGAAAAATACTATTTCCATTAAATAGATATTTTATATAATACAGAAAAAATTGTGATCGTACATTAACGAATGCTCTGAATGGAGAGAAATCCACGACCGACCAAGTCCCTTGCAGGTAAAAAAAACTTCATAAAACCTTTCCTGTGCTGATTTTTCATCCAAACGCCACAAATTATATCTAATTATCTATCAATTAAAAAAGTATCATTTATTTAATTTCTAGTAGGGTTTATATACGAAGCCATTGAGCCGTTTTGTAAACACAATAAGTACTTCGCTTGACCAGGACTGACACCTATGAGCAATGGCGCGCAACATCGGCGATCAAAATATGCATATTGAGAAATTTAAACTTTGAATCGCTGAAACACCGAAAATATTAATTTTTCTAACAAAAAAAATTTGATGGATGATTTTAATAGCATATAAACTTTGTTATATCAAAAAATCATGAAGCATGATAAAAACCCTTTAATTAACCGATTTGCTATCAAAGACCTCCAATTTACATTCTGAAAAATCGTATATCCGATGTAAAGTCTTCTCACTAGAAAATTAATACAAATATGAAATATAAAATCCTAGCACCACCTGTTAGAAGTTTAGAAAATATTAACGTTTTTAAAGGTACATGTAACACCAGGATCAAAGGGTCAATGTTGTAGGTTTCTAAAGAAAAGCCTTATAACAAAGATTACATACGGGAATTATGAATGCCCTAGTGCTAACCGCTCAAAAGTTATTGCTAATGTTAACGTTTTTAAAGAATGTGTAAACTTCAAAGGTAAAGGTCAAATACGGTAGAATTCAATAAGAGGTCTGGTTACAAGGATTATATAAGTGAAATATGAAAGCCCTATCCCTCAACGTTATGGCCAAGGATAACGTTTTCTTTCAAACTCCAAGGAAAAGGTCAAGGGTAAAAGTTGTTGGTATTCAATGGAAGGTCTTGTAAAAAAAAAAAATAAGCCTGAGAAGTTTGAAAGCTCTAGCCCTTGCCGTTAAAATGTTATTGTCAATGTAAAAGTTCTTTTTTTAAAGTAGGTCAAACTCCAAGGTCAAAGATGGTGGTATTAATTGAAAGGTCTCGTCAAAAGGATTACATATTTGAAGTATGAAAGCCCTAGACCTTATCTTTCAAACGTTATGGCCAGGATTAACGTTTTAAAATGTCAAAAGGTCAAAGTTGTTCGGATACCATAGAAAGTCTTGCCACAAAGAATACACATGGGAAGTATTAAAACCCTAACTCTAACCGTTCAGAAAGTAATTATCAATGCTATTTTTAAGCAGGTCAAAGTCAAGGTCAATGTCAAAGTTTTTGGTATCCTATACAAGGTCTTGACACATATAATACACATAAATATGA